CAAGGTGAAGGCAGGAATCCTCTGATTCTCTTTTGGGGATGTGAGTTCCGGGAGACGGAGGCCTTCAAGGGGCAGAGCAGAAGAGGCGGGAAGCCATGGCTGCCAGATAACAGGAACCCAGCCCAAGATACCCAAGCTACACGAGCTGAAGAAGAGAGAGAAGGCTGAGGCTTCAGAGTGCCGTTGGTGCTTGCACTGCCCTGCACACATCTGCAGCTGGTAAAGGGGCAGTGGAGGACGCACCGGTTCGGCCTGTCCATGTCAAACGTCCGAAGCACAGCGCGAACTCTTGGTGTCACGTCGTGAACAGTGAAGCAGTGAAGCAGGCGAGTGGCTTGGTCGCCCAGTGACCAGATTGCCATAAGGGTACCCTTGTTTGGGTTGGTTACTTGTAGAAGGGAGCCTTGAACCAAAAACAGGGAAAAGGGCACTACTGGGCTACCCAGGTGAAGGCAGGAATCCTCCTGCGACTCTGGATGGCATTCGTGTTCGGCATCCTGCGGTGGTTTGCCGGAGTGTTTCTTATAGCCGCCCGAGCCCCCCGCATGCGCCAAGAAACCACTGGCTTGCCCTTGGAACGAAGGGACTCCGTGATTCCAAGGTGCTGTCATGAAGTGCAGGCAAGTAAACGGCATCCGGCGTAAACTATAACAATCCACAGGTCGCACCTCGTACTTCTTATGTTCGCTCGTGGCCGCAAGTTTCTGCATGCCTCGCTTGCATCGTATCCCAGGTGTTGGTTCAACTTTACAGCTCGCCTCGCCGCGCCTCAAATGGGGTTTAAGGTTTTGGTTTATGGCTTACTGGGGGTGCAGCCGGCGACGACCGCTGTGAGAACGTTGTCGTAGTTCTTGAAAGCCTGCCCGGGCTGTCAGTGCTTGCTTCAGGTTTCTTAGGGATCGGGTAAGGGCTTCGTTGGCATGTGCTCGGGCTCTTAACCTGTAGGATGCAGGCTCGGACCCCGCAGAAGCATACTTCAGAAGTTTGAGCGATCGTCATTCTGAGCGGAAACTCCAAAATGACAAGTCAGCCTGGACGATACGAGAAGGATGCTGGCTCAAGCCCCGTGTTGAAAATCAGCTTAGCCTCAGACACTCTCTATCAAAAGCGGCCCAGTTACCCTAAGGCCCCCAAGCCTCAAAACCTCAAGCCCTCAAAAAAGACAGCAAGAACCCTGAGACTCTGGTAGCCGTGCCTCCGAGAATTTCGCATAGCTGTCCACGTGGATGTCGTTCACAGCCGCCGGATGTCCGGTTCGGATTTGGGTTAGGCAGAGTGTTGCAAATCAAGCGCCGTGGTTTTGATTTTTCTGGGCAGGTAGGTGGGCTCAGGGGTCAGGCTGCGGAAACTTAGTGGGTCTGGGGCCGTAGATCACCAGGGCCACCTCGCTATTTCACCAGGGCCAGCTCGCTGAAATAAGGGTTATTTCATGGAGGCACCTCACACCTTTGGCGGTGACCTCGCTATAGTTTACCTAGTTTGCATGGATGCTCGCCAGGGATAGCGCTGGCGCAAACCTTCCCAAGCAAGGACTTTCCCACATTTGCTCATCAGCTGATCTGCATGCTGCATCTTCTTCGGCAAAATCCCGGCGCAAGTTGCCGGCGCAACTACTACGCACAACACGGCCCCTGCTGGGGCCACCGGTTAAGAGTGCGGTTCCCTGATAGTTCCTCAACCCCCCCAACAAGATGGCCTGGGGCGTTGACGACTTCTGTCTGGTGGGAATGCACAGTTGCAGCACATTTCCTTGGCAGCACAGCAACAGTACCACAACAAGGGGCACCCCTTTTAAGAGGGGTGGCTACTTTAAATCCTAAACCCTAAGCCCTGAACCCTAAACCCTAAGCCCTTCAAAAACAAGGCCAAAAAAGGGTACCAGACTGGGTACCTGCCCGAGTTTCAGCGTCACCGAGGCCACAAGCTGATGAAACTGCTGGTGCGTCGGGAGCCTCATGGCTTGGGGCTTCGGCCGCCTGGAGACCAGAAGTTGATCCCAGGGCTCATCAAGCACCTCGGGAGGGGGTTTAGGGTTTAGGGTTTAGGGTGTAGATCCCTGGGCTCATCAAGCACCTGGAGAGTGAGTTTAGGGTTTAGGGTGAGGGAGCTTAGGGTTTAGGGTTTAGGGTTGAGGATCTCAAAACTCATCAAGCGCCTCAGTGCACGCAACGGGAGGAGGCAGAGGGTCGCGCAGGAGGCGGCGATGCAGAAGCCTTTCCTTGGCTGACTTCTGAACCCAAGGAAACTAACGGAGGGACCCTTAGAAGGGACCTTCGGGACTACTTGGGGCTTATTTCGTGGCTACTTTGGTATATAGGGACTATATCTTGGCTGACTTCTGAACCCCTCCGAAAAGTTTAACTTTCAGGCTCCCTTGTTGTCGCATTTACAAAAACCCAAAAGGTTCAAGTCCCAAGAGCCATCCAGAGGAAATCCAAGTTTCGACTACAAGTTGACGTGACACGGCACGCCGCCTCTGGCTTTCCTGAGTCGCGTCGAACTTAGGGTTTCTTTGAGGGTTTAGGGCTTAGGGATGTTGAGGGTTGACGTTTAGGGACCCAAGAGCAACCTAGGAATCAATAGAGGGTGCCCATTTTTCGGTTACCCTAAACCCTAAACCCCAAACCCTACACCCTACACCCTTAACCCTAAACCCTAAACCCCAAACCCTACACCCTAAAAGGTCCTAAGAAGGGAACCTAAACCCTAGACCAAGGGGCATAAGTCGGCCGACTCTGGCTCCTAGGTTGTGAGCCTTTTGTTATCGTTTTTAGGGGCAGAAGGCAAGTAGGGTTTAGGGTTTAGGGTTTAGGGTTTAGGGTTTAGGGTTTAGGGTTTAGGGTTTAGGGTTTAGGGTTTAGGGTTTAGGGTTTAGGGTTGTCAATCCAAGTCCTCATATAGGGGCCCGCGTAATGAGCATTGGCATGTTGGGCCATGCTTCTTCGAATTGTCATGGTCCATGGTCTAGTCTTGGGGGCATAAGCCTTGGTACTTTGGGCAGTGCTTCTTTGAATTTTCGTTGTATGGCATAGGGGGAATAAAGGGGTCTGTTATGGTCTGATTCGTCATTCTAATTAGCCTCCTATGGGTGGTACATCCTGCAGCCGAGCCTCGTCATGTCAGCTGGTCCACAGATCTTTGCCGTGTGCACATGTCAAGATCCATCTCGAGCTCAAAAGGACGGTAGAGAATGCAAGGTAACGGTCGGCAAAGGTCGTTTTGACAATGGACCACAGGTCAGGATCCTTTCTGAGAGACGTTTACCAGTTTGGTCTCTGTATCTGAGTCACATCCAGCGCCCTGTCTTGTCCTATCTCTACGCCTCACCATGTGCATGAAATGGAAAGTTCCACATGAAAGTGTCTCACTAGCTCTTGCTTTGAGAAAGCTCACTCGAGGCAAGCAGCGTCTCGTAGAATCTACTTGGAAGCTCGGTATATGCGGGGTTTCAAGTAGGGTTACTGTACTTAATGGCTGGACATATCCTGATTCGGTGTACTTATAGCCCTACGTGAAACTACCCAATGAAGCTTTAAGCACCGCGATGTACGGGCTACGGTTCTCAGCCCGCGAGAGGCACAGGAAAGGCTTATACTTGGAGTTTCATGGCTAGCCGTATGTGCTAATACCTTCATGCGGGCCACAAATGCACTTGCCCTGCTTCTAACCCTGCCTATGAGTTTCTTTACGCCTCTGCAAGTTTTGTAAACCCTAACCCTAACCCTAAACCCTAAACCATAGGCCCCAATTCTACAAGTCCACACGTCTCTGCCGCCATGCTTTTGGGGTAAATGCTATTGGGGCCGGAATAAATACTAATAGAATTCCCTCATGGCCCCTTTACAACTATACTCTAATGACCCCCGAAACCCTGTTCTAAGTATTAAGGCCCCTTCTTTAGCCTACTTGGAGGCGCACCCATAATGAGAGGCGGGAAGAGTTGCACAGCTCCAAACCACCTTTGGTGTTTTGGGGTTTGACCCTAAACCCTAAACCCTAAACCCTCGACCCTAAACCCTAAACCCTATGCCCTATACCCTAATCGCTTTTGGGTTGAGGGTTGGGATGTTCCCCCTTATACTAGCAGTCCTTCATTGGAATTATAGTCCCCCTACTAAAATCACTGTTGGATGTTGGTATAAGGGGGAACATCCCAAGTTGAGGGTTTAGGGCGTTTAAACCCTAAACCCTAAAGCCTAAACCCTAAACCCTGAACCCTAAACCCTGAACCCTTAACCCTAAACCCTAAACCCTAAACCCTAAACCCTAAACCCTAAACCCTAAACCCTACTCGCTTTTAAGGGTTGAGGGTTTAGGCTTTTTGGGGGTCAGGGTTTCCACCCGACGGGCGAAAGAGCAGGACTTTTCTTCTCGATTGGCCTCTCCTTCCTCCTCCTCCGAGCGGCTCTTCCGGACGTATTCCTTGGATTGTACGGTTTAGGGTTTAGGGTTTAGGGTTCAAGGTTGAAGGTTCAAGGCTTGAAGGGTCGTGGTTGGAAGGGTACCTTGAAAAACAAAGCTGGAAGAGGACATTGCGACAGGTTCGTCAAGCTAGAACACGAGGCTGTTGTACTTCTTGAAAGGAGGGGAAATTTACTTAGTTGCTGAGTTCATAAGCCTCAAGAGGTGTACACTTTCAACAATATAAGGGATTGTAGTATCCCAAAAGGTGTAAAGTGTACTCATTCAGCTACTAAGTATAGGGTTTCACAAGGTCCTGAAGTAGCCAAAGGAACAAAACAGCTACACCTGCCGAGAGAACCTAAAACTGGAATAAATGCCCACTCTGAGTCCTAGAATGACGGCCCTAAACCCTAAACCCCCCTAAATCCCCAAAAGCCCCCCCCCCCCCCCCCCCCTAAATGCCCCCAAACCTTCCAAACCCTCAACCCTGAGGTCGGGAGGGTGGGGGCCGAACCAGGCCCTAAACCCTAAACCCTAAACCCCAAACCCTAAACCGCAAACCCTAAACGGGCCCTCCTGAAATCAGCCCAAGGCTCCCTGCACTCAGAAATGTCAACGACGGTCGAGGCTTCCTTAGACTGAGGCCAGCTTGTTAGGGTTTAGGGTTTAGGGTTTAGGCGTTAGGGTTTAGGGGTTTCGGGTTTATGGGTTTAGGGTCACGGGGTTAGGGCTTTGGGTTTAGGGGATAGATTCTCATGAAGCTTCCGTAAAATGGCATTCAACTCCATGTCGCACTGTAGTGCTGCAGGTGCTCCGACTTTCATCTCTGCGGCGTGTTTCAGGCTCGAGGGACATCTTAAACCCCTGACCCTAAGGGCCCATGTAACCTGATGATGATGATGATGATGATGATGATGATGATGATGATGATGACTATTAGTATTATTATTGTTGTTCTTATTATTCGTTTATTAGTACTATTATTATCAATATTATTATGTATAAATATCTATACGCTTGGGCCGCAAAGTCCCTATCTTGGAAAGGCTCTAAGGCCCAAGTATTCCCTATTTGGGTACATGGACGCTTAGGGTACGCCGGCTAAAACTCCAGACCCTAACCAAGGCAGCCCTAAACCACGCAAACGATGCCTTCAAAGTGGCGATGGCCTGCCGCACCACATCCAAGTCCTCCGTGAGCTCGCGAACTCTGTTGAACTTTGCAACCAGCCCTCGGAAGGATGCGGTTTAGGGTTTAGGGTTTAGGGTTTAGGGTTTAGGGTGTAGGGTTTCGGGCTTAGCCTCACGAACCATGAGCCCTGCCAAGGTATGTACCGAAACTCTGGTTTAAGGGTTTAAGGGTTCTTAAGGGTTTAAGGGTTGAGGGTGTAGGGTTTAAAGCCTCCTAAACCTCCCGAGGTCCTGCCTAGGAATCCTGTTGCTTTATTTAAGCCGGGGGCCATGCCTTCGAAGTCTCGGCGTGCAGAGTGCTGGTTGCCTAAACACCAAACCTAAACCACAAAAACCCTAAAACCAAAAGCCCTAAACCCAAAAACCCTAAACCCAAAAACCCTAAACCCCAAAACCCCCAACCCAAAGACCCTAAACCCCAAAAAACCTTAACCCAAAAACCCTAAACCCTAAACCCCGGCAAATCATTCGATCTTTGGTAGGGCTTGAACACAAGGTTCCATGGCTGAGGATAAAGAAAGCTCTTGGGTTCCATGTTGGTCAAATTCCTGCAAGCCTAAACCCAAAAACTCCCATCTATAAACCCTAAGCAGTGGGATGTTCCCCCTTAGAGTAACAGTCCTTAATAGGGATTAAAGCACCCCCTATTTATAAACCCCGTTTTAGAACTGTTAGGATAAGAGGGAAAGTAAGGGGGAACATCCCAACCGAAACCCAAAGGATCCCAACTATAAACCCTAAACCCTAAACCCTAAACCCTAAACCCTAAACCCTAAACCCCTAAGCACCCCAAGCCCTAACAACCAGCCCACAACCCTGGAACATGCTCGAGCCCTCAAAATAGGCCCAAGCCCTTAGCTTGAAAACCCTAAGCCCTAAGCCCTAAACCCTAAACCCTAAACCCCAAACCCTAAACCCGAAACCCTAAACCCTAAACCCTGAACCCTAACAAAAAAAAATCACAAAACCCTGAGAACAAACACTTCGGAGTGGCTGAGCGAGGTCCAGCCATCTTCGTCTGCTTGTGATCGCAGGAAGTTGTCCTTGGCATAGTTCACGTCCTCAGCATTCACCCCGGTGAACCGCTTGTTTATGTCAGGTTTAGGGTTAGGGTTTAGGGTTATAGGGTTTAGGGTTTAAGGTTTAGGGGTAAAGTAAAGTTTGCGGTTGAGGGGAGGGTTTACATGAGATTCCTGAAAAGGGCGCGGTAGCAACCGATTGGAACAGTGCTCGCACAATTGTGACACTTTTGCCAGGGCGCGCCGAAGTAGTACTCGAACTGGCCTGCGCAGCACGGTTCGTCGAAGGTTTAGGGTTTAGGGTTTAGGGTTTAGGGTTTAGGGTTGAGGGTTTAGGGTTCAGGGTTTAGGGTTGAAGGTTTAGGGTGTAGGGTTTAGGGTAATACAGGGGCCTTAAAAATTAGAATACCATGCTGGGGAGCTTGCTTTTTGTTGGGGGGGCTTTGGGAGGGCGACCTGTAGGGGGATGCTCCTTTCCGAGCCCAAGGTTAGGGTTTAGCGTTTAGGGTTTAGGGTTTAGGGCTTGGGGAGTTTGAGCAGAAGGTATTCTTGCTCCAAGGACTTTGACATCCCATCACTTGTCTCTGATGGATGTTCGCCGGCCGAAGACCAAAACCCAAAACCCCAAACCCCAAACCCTAAACCCTAAACCCTCAAGAACAGGATGAATCGAAATTGTATGTGGTATCATCATGAGTGTCCCATGTTATCTGTCAAAACAGCTGACAAGCCGAGCTTAAGTAAATAAATCGCCCATGGAAGGCCAAATATTCAGTTAACTTAAACCTCTGGTTTCCAAAGTTATTTGTCTAAACAGCTGGCAAGCAGAGCTCAAGTAAATTCATCCAAAGCACCTGGTGATATCATTCTGAATTTCCCAAGTTATTTGTCTAAACAGCTGAGAAGCCGAGTTTGAGTAGATTACTCAAAAGCGTTGATCGTTCAAAACTTTCGGTCAAACTCCGGACATGAACCCTATATAATTACTATAAACCCTAAACCCTAACCCCTAACCCCTAACCCCTAAACCCTAAACCCCCAGAAAAAAACCTTCGGTGCCGAGGTCCACGCTGCGGATGGCATATCGGAGCTGCTCCACCTGGGGTTTCGCATGTATATAGCCCTAAACAATAAACACTAAACCCTAAACCCTAAACCCTAAACCCTAAACCCTAAACCCTAAACCCTAAACCAGGGCTTGGGGTCCAAAGAAAGGTGCTTGGGTTTAGGGTTGAGGGGTTTAAGGTTCATTTAGGCTTTAGGGTTTCCTAAGAGCCAGTTATAAGTAACTTATAGTATCAACCCTGAGTAGATACCACCCCTGCTAGGTTTGGAGCTTAAACCTTACGAGCTCAAAACGGGACATGGAGGGTTTAGGGTCAAGGGGGGGAGGAGAAGTTGCCGTCGTGGTGGTCGCCGTCGCACCTCTAAGCGTGGCGCCACGGAAATTTTGGGAAACACATGCCTGCTGCAACCCCTGATGGACGTATCACGACATGCTGATTTGTGGTTTCGAACAAGGCTCAGCCAACACTTCTGGCCTGAAGATATCCAGAGTTCCGCACCTCAAGCCCCAAGACGTCAGTCTCGTACTTTCTTGAAGGCTTTCCGTCCGGCCTATACTTACTAGACCCAAGAGTACCCTAGGAATAGAAAGGGTGCCCTTGTTGGTTTTAAAGGGGCTGATAAGAGAACCTGAACCGCCCAAAATGGGAATACGGGCCTACTCTGGGTCTTCGCCCTAATCCGAGCACCTGTTTAATTAAACCCCCCATTTTTAAAGAACTTGTTTTCCCCGGAAGCCCGCCGGAAGACTACTTTCCATTAGGGTGGATTTCGGCTGGAGATAACCCCCCACATTTAAAGATTTTTTTTTGCGCGGGTTCGCAAAGTCTCATGGGTGGCTTTTTTTTGTCTTGTGTGCTGCAATTTCGAGTCCTATTGTTTTCAATACGTTCTTATTGATTTTTAATAGAGAAACCATACGGGGCCATGGTCCAACTATTGCGGAACCCTGCCTTCCTTATTGTGGGGGGGGGGGCCCCCCCAATTAAACAGGTGCTCGGATTAAACCCTAAACCCTGTACCCTAAAACCTCAAACGCAAGGGCTACGTTGCCTTGCGCTTGTCCACGGGTGCGCTCTGGAATCTCGGCTCCTTCGGAGAAGCTCTCTCCATGGCCGGCGGTGTCCTGCTCGCAAGAAGGAAGGCAAAGGCTTGGAGGGTTTAGGGTTTAGGGTTTTGGGCTTAGTGTTGAGGGTTTCGGGTTTAGGGTTATTGCCGATGTTGAGGGCCTTCATCAGGTCTTTGGGCCTTCAGATACGAAGAACCCTAAACCCCAAAGCTCGTCTTCAACCCCAACACACCGAGCTCCGATGTCGACGTCCGATGGAAGATTGGGGGCACGGGCTTTTTATCTGGACCTTGAAGCGCCCTTAATTAGAAACCCTAAACCCTAAGCCCCCTCAAACTAACCAAAAAACCTCTCAATTCGGTACCCATAGGTCGATTTCTTCCCCCAAATCCGGATTTTTCCAAAAAGCAGTGTTGGGTTTAGTAGGGGATCCGAAGTGTGGGCCCTTAATTTGGGTCCCCTGTTCTATAACCCTTATATACACTATACATAAGTCAGGGCCCATACTTCGGATCCCTTTGGCTCCCTTTAAACAAGGGTAAGGGACCATACTAACGGCCCATGGCTCCAACCTCAGACTTAGGGTTTAGGGTTTAGGGTTTAGGGGTAGTGTCGTGTAGGTGGGAGGTTCATGGCCGGTTATACTGTTGCACTGTGTTTGATAAACAGACCCCCCCCCCTCCCCCCCAAACAAGTTTGGACACCCTCTATACACGCATAGCGCGGCGACCCCCCCAAACAAATTCCGGAAGCTTTCCAGCCTTTAAGATTCCTGGGGCCCAAGGCCCTTACTGTGTAAGCCCTTAACCCAAAACACAAACCCTTAAAAACCAATCATCCGAAGAAAAACTGTGTACTATAGAGGGTGACCAGACCAACTTACTAAAGACAGTCTGACCGGCCCGTGGGCTACCTATCACAAAATTTGTTTGGGGCTTCGTTTCGTAATGAAATTCCATGAGGCTTTACATGGAACTGGCCGGGCTTAGATTTCTGGATTCTCCGGGCTCTGGCTCCTTAAGATTCCTGGAGCCCAAGGCCCTCAGGACCTCAAGCCTTACTGCGTAAGCCCTTTACCCAAAGCACAAACCCTTAAACAAAAAAGAACGTCCGGAAAAAACACTTGTGATAATAACCGGTCCAACAAACTCGGTTGGCAGAATCCATTTTGGAAACTTGTGATTATAGAGGATGCACATATTAAAGTCAGTGCAACATGAACTGGGAACATAAGTTTTCATCTTTCATTATGGTTGTCGCCAAGGTTTGTGGCGCGTGGATGTCGCGCCCGTGAAGCCTCCACCCTGCACCCTAGTCTCATGAAACCCTAAAACCCTAACGCCCTGAAACCCTAAATCCCTGAAACCCCCAAACCCAGAAACCCTAGAAACCTTAACACCCGTAGAACACTGAAAAACTAGAAGCCCTAAAGGCCTAGAAACCCTAAAAGTTACGAAACACAAACCTATAAACCTCAAAAACCAGCCAACAACTAAACACCCAAAAAAAAATCAAAGACCCTTAAGCCCTGAGAGCCCAAAAAATCTCCGACTTGAAGAAGCCCTAAACGACCCTCAACAAGCCCAAACAAAAAACCCTCAATACCCTACAATCTCCCCAGAAACCCTTAAAAGCCTGGAAACCCTACAACTCTTAAACCCTAAAGCCCTAAAACCCCTAAAGACCCTCAAGCCAACACAGGCTGCTCATATGAAGCAGGGTTTATTTCACTCTTATTGGTGAGTGTATGTAAGGCTCCTGTTTAATATTGGTGAGTGTATACCTTGGGTGTCCTTTTGGGGGGTACAAGAAATATTAACCCTACTTCATATAACAAACGAACCTTCCCAAAGCTAAACCCTAAACCCTAAACCCTAAACCCTAAACCCTAAACCCCAAACCCTAAACCCTAAACCCTGAACCCTAGGTTTCGGGGCCCCCAAGCCCGCTCCTTTTCTCAGGGCGCTTGTGGGCTGCACTGCTGGACTCCTCGGGCGCTGGGCCCTCCGCCCCGCCTGCCTCTGAACCGGGAAGACTTGGGGAGGGTTTAGGGTTTAGGGTTTAGGGTTTAGGGTTTAGGGTTTAAGGGGTAGGGTTTAGGGTTTAGGGCTTAGGGACTCACATTTTGGCGGTTCATGGGCGGGAATCTGAAAAGCAAGGACCCTGTGAAACTGTTTACTTCTCCTTGTTGGGGGGTGCTTGGAACTTTCCTGCGAGCTCTAGCAAAGATGGGAGAACAAGTGCATTGGGTTCTGCGGGCGATATAGACAAAACGCTGCATCTGCTAGTTGCCCCCTGGAAGCCTTCAAATCTCAAAGCACCTGGGGCTTAGGCTTCAGGGTGCAGGCTTCGGGCTTATAAGGATTGTGGTGGCTGCAGGGGTTTCTAGGGTTTACGGGATTTGTGGGTGCTTGTCGGGCTTTTATGGCGTATGGCGTCTGGGGCTTATAGGGCTTACAGGCTTTAAGAATTCACAGATCACCCTCCAACAGCCCTAAACCCTAAAAGCCCTAAAAGCCCTAAAAGCCCTAAACCCTAACAAACCCGCGCCTGAAAGACGCCAACCTGAAACAGCGAATCCACGAAGAAGCTCCTGGAGCTGCCATCCTGCGAGATAGTGACCTGTGGGTGTTAGGGTTGACATGGGGAAATTTAGCGGTTTAGGGCTTATATAGGGTTTAGGGTTTAGGGCTCTAGGGTTTTGGGATATTAAGCCCTAGGGATTACGGGCTTTTAGGCTTTTCAGGGTGTTTAGAGGGAATTTTTAAAGGCTTTCAGGGTTTTTTTTTAGGTTTTTAGGGTGTGTAGGGTTTGAGCCTATATATAGCTTGTGGTTCAGCCGGGGGGGCTGGCACATGGTATCAACTTCAGGAAGCTTCGATTGTTACATGAGCAGCCCGTGTTGGCTTGAGGGTTTTTAAGGGTTTCTAGGGTTTTTAGTTTTTTTTTAGGTTTTTTAGGGTTCTTAGGGTCTTTTAGGGTTCTTAGGGTTTGTAGGGTTTGAGGGCCTTTAGGGCATTTTAGGATTTGCGGTCAGTCGCTGAGTTCCACCTTCGGGTACGGACTAAGGGGTTTGAGGGCTTTTTGGGGCCTTTAGGGTTGAAGAGTTGTAGGGTTTTGAGGGTTTTAAGGGTTTCTGGGGATATTGTGGGGTGTTGAGGGTTTTTTGGGTTGGGTTTGTTCAGGGTCTTTAGGGCTTCTTTGCGTCAATGTGAGTCGAAGGGATTTTGGGCTTTTAGGGCTTCAGGGTCTTTGGTTTGTTTTGGGTGTTTAGTTTCTTGGGTGTTTTTTTTGGGTGTATAGGGTTTTTGGAATTTTAGGTTTCTAGGCCTTTACCCAAAGGCTCCAATGTAGTTCGTTTTTGGGTTAGTTATAGGGGATTCCAGTATACTACCCCAAAAAGGCACTACGAGTACATAGGAGCCTTCGGGTAGGGCCTTTAGGTTTTCAGGGTTCTACGGGTTTTAGGTTTCTATGGTTTCAAAGTGGTACCTGGTAAAAAACGCTACGATGGTTCAGTTGGGATGTTCCCCCCCTATACTAACAGTCCTTAATCGTGATTGTAATAAGGGGGCACTATAATCCCTATTAAGTATAGGGTTTTGGGTTTAGGGTGTAGGGTGACTTTCAGTCTAAGGGGGAACATCCCAAGTAATAAGGGTACTAGAGGCATCCTGGGAGCATCCTGATGAGCCCTAAATCACAAACTAGACCCCAGGAGTAACCTAGGAACACAAAGGGTACCCTTTGTGGTTTTAAAGGGGCTTAGAAAGGAACCTAAACCCTACAAAAGGGGAATGAGGGCCTACTCCGGGTCCTAGCAAACCCCTTAAAACCGAAATTGTCCCAACGAACTTGCCCAACATCCGCTTGACTACCTGGTGTCAGGTTTAGATGCCCGCCCAAACCAAATTCATGGCAGACTCAAAGGCAACTGGGTGTTGTGGGTTTCGAGCCTTTGGGAGGTTTAAGGATTTTGGGGCGTTTGAAGAAACCCGAAACCCTAAACCCTAGCCAGGGTGGGGTTGCCCAAAACCCTAAACCCTATACCCTAAACCCCAAACCCTAAACCCTAAACCCAAAACCCTAAACCTAAACCCTGAAACCCAAACCCTCAACCCTAAATCAGGGTTTTTGGGGGTTGAGGCTGCATCGCGTGGTGCCTGGGAGACGCCACTGGCCATGCCGGCTCCGACGCACTGCCCTGCCTGTGAGACTGGCTGGTTCTTAGTAGGGGGATCGGTTTAGGGTTTCGGGTTTAGGTCGAGGGACAGAACCCCTAAACCCTAAACCCTAAACCCAGAAACCCTAGACATGCTCGGCTCTGCATGCGCTTTGCCTGAAAGTCCGTCAGCCCCGCAGGCGTCCGGACACGGAAGCGCACCACCTCAGACAGTGGGGTTTGCAGCATTTAGGGTTTTCAGTTTTTGTCTCTTTTTTTTGGTTGCGTCTTTGGGGGGTTTTAGGGTGTTCAGGGTTCTTGGGCTTGTGGGTTTTGGGACTCCAGGATTTGAGGGTTTGCGGCTCAGGCTTTTGGATTTTAGGGCTTAGGGCACCCTTCGAGGTACGAGGCTCTATAGATATCCTGTTGTCTGGTACTTGGAGGTTCATGGTACTTATTAACCAATTAAAACTGTACTTATAATTACCCACACTAGGGCACTTAAGGGGCATATGAGTGGGTTATAAGTACAGTTAAAATTGGTGAATAAGTACCATGAACTTCCAAGTAGGCTCTATGGAGATCCTGTTGTCTGGTGTGACCTTCCAAGTAAGAGACGAAGAGGTCGGGTTCAGGGTGAGGATGTACTTGTTTTGGGGGCTCCAGCAAATATTGTGTAGTTTGGGGTTTAGGGATTCCACTTTAGGGTTTGGGGGTGTATGTTAGGATCTGCAGTGGTAAGAGACTTGGAAATGGCTGTCAGGTCTTAGACGGAAGGGTATGCCTCGCGGGCAGGTACCATGGTGACTAGTCCTATAGGAACCAGTCCCATGTCAGTTTCTCCAAATTGACATGAGCGTGCAGGTAGTGAGCAAAAATGTTGGGGTCCCTGATCTACCGTGTCTCCAAAACTCAGGGCAGCCAAAGGGGACTTAATTTAGAGACCTGAGTTAGTCACATTAGAATTCCTAATTCGTCAGGGCCCCTTCATAGCTGAAGGTCGATTTCTTCGTCCCCCCGCCCCAGGCAAGGTATAGCCTGACCCTACACCCTACTAGTGTCTTTGAGCCTTGGCATACTAGCCTTAAACCCTAAACTTTGAACCCTAAACACTAAACCTTAAACCCTAAACTTTGAACCCTAAACACTAAACCCTAAGCCTTAAACTTACACCCTAAACCTTGGACCTTCAAGAATGCTTGTAACTACCCGTGAACCTCCATGGGGCCCTTGAATGGGAGCCCTGAAACCAAAACCACTCCGAGGACCGCGCCTCTCCCGGCAAAGGTGCGCGAGATAGTGGCCTGCCGAACCCTATAGCTTGGGACTTTCCCGCCTTATGGGTTTAGGGTTTAGGGTTCAGGGCTTATACGTAACAGTCCTCGATAGGGGTTTTAATAGGAGGTGTTAATCCCTATGAAGGACTGTTAGTACAAAGGGGGAACATCCCAACCTATATCCTAAAACCCTTCTAAGCTAGGCTAACCCTAAACCCTAAACCCTAAAGCCGCCAAAGCCCCGCTTGTTAAAGGGTGACTCAGCCAAGCTCTTTTTCATCTGCTCATCCGAAGTCCAAGGGTTGTTGAACGTGTACCTACTAGACCCAAGAGTAACCTAGGTTTAAGGTTTAGGGTTTAGGGTTTAGGAGAAAAAATGCCTTTTTGGGGTTCCCAAAAGAAGGGAATCAGGGCCTACTCTGGGTCCTAGGCTACCCTGAACCCTAAACACAGTCCAGGGCCAACATAGGGTTTTTACCTCCCTCCCCCATCCGCCATCCCATCCATCCCCTCCATCCTAAACCCTAAACCCCAAACCCTAAACCCCAAGCCCTAAACCGTTAACCCTAAACCCCCTAGACCCCCTGCGCGCTTCCAGAGCTCCGCTGCAAGCGCGTCCGGCAGCAGCTCCTGAGTTGTCACCATGGGCACCTGGGGCTTTGGGTTTAGGGGTTTAGGGTTTAGGGGCTAGGGGTTTAGGGTTTAGGGATTGGGGAGAGTTGCTGCACACACTAGGTTTCGAAGCTAATAATGGGTAAGTTCAAAATAGGATCATCATACGGTAACAGCTATCATAAATACATGAATTATTCTATTGCAACATATCAGGTGCACAGTCAACTTCCTGATCTCAAGCTAGCCCATGACCCCCAAACCCCCAAAGCCATCGTACCTATACCAATTTCGTCGCAACCAGTCTGGGGTGTAGGGTTTAGGGTTTAGGGTTAGGGGTTGGGGCTTATGAGTTTAGGATTTAGGGTGTAGGGTTTGGGTTTCAGGATTTGAGGCCGTCAACCCCCTACCTCCCAGTCCAAACCACGTCCGGCGGCCTTTGGGGAAGCCGCTGTCGCGGTGGCCCCTGCAAGGGTTCGGGGTTTTGGGTTTAGCGTTTAGCAGACCCTAAACCCGAAATCTAAACCGGGAAACAAGGCTTTGGCAGCCGCTTCACCAACCCTGGGGGGTTTGGGGCCTACCGCTCAGGGACACGCTTGGTGGGGACAGTGATTGACGAACCTACTTTTGTTGGATGGGGTTTATACGTCACCCCTTCCGGCCCCCCCACTCCCCGCCCCCCCCCCCCACCCGCACTCCACCCACCAACAAGACAGAGAGGAACAACAGTAATTTAGGGGCCTGAAAGATATCAACAAGGCTTTGGGGTTACTATAGTATAATTGTAAGGGAACCATAAGGGGAAAACTATTCGTCATTACTCCGACCCCTATACTACACAGCTAATTCATGAACCTTCGATGGACAATTGACAAGCAAAGTGTCTCTGCTCCAGGCCTTCTGCTGCTGTTTCTTCTGCAGCCTGATCTTCCTCTGCCTCCTCCTCTGCTTCTGCTGCTCCTTGGGACCACAAACCGGTTCAGGGTTTATAGCACATCCTTACATACTATAAGCCCTCTACACCCTAGAAACCGGCCCCAGACTCAACATAGCTCTGTCAAGGGTATGCACACCAGGATTACCAAGATCATGGCCACTTAAAGCATCTTCGGGACATGCCCCAAGCACCAGAGCAGGCCCTTACATTGCCTTACATAGGGCTTAGGGCATAGGGCTGAGGGCTCAGGCTTCAGGGGCTTAGGCTTCAAAGCTCAAGGTTTTGGGCTTTAAGCCGACTCCTCCTTGCCCTAAACCCTAAACCCCAAACCCCAAACCCCAAACCCTAAACCCCAAACCCCAAACCCTAAACCCTCGGTCCCTCCTTGCTTGTCTTCGTCTTCCTCTTCCTCCTCGTCCTCGTCTTCTTCCTCTTCGGCGACCGGCTCGGGAGCCTTCGAGCTTGGAGGTTGAACCCTAAGCCCGATAAGCCCTACAAGCCCTACAAGCCCTATAAGCCCTATAAGCCCTACAAGCCCTATAAGCCCTACAAGCCCTATAAGCCCTATAAGCCCTCTAAGCCCTCTAAGCCCTATAAGCCCTACAAGCCCTATAAGCCCTGTAAGCCCTATAAGCCCTATAAGCCCTATAAGCCCTATAAGCCCTAAGCCCTAAACCCCAACCCGCACCCACGAACTCCAGGAGTCTTTGGAGATACGCTCTGGTGGACCGGTCCACTGTAGGGACCCTACACCATGAAACCCTCAAGCAGCAATGTCCAGTCTGGGTGACGTGCTTGGAGGTCCCAGGACTTGGCATCCCCCTAAACCCTAAACCCTAAACCCTAAACCCCAAAGCCTAAATGCTACCCCCCTTTAACTTTACCCTTTAACTTTACGGGGTTCAGAGCTTAGGATCTACAACCCAAACCCTAAGCCCCAATCCCCCCTTTTTTAGACCTTAAAACCCTAAACCCCCCCCGTTCTTTAGGGCTTTGGAGCTGAGAAATAAAAAGCCCAAAGCCCCGCACCCCAAACCCTAAACCCTTTAAAGGGATTTAGGGCACCTGGGGCAGAGCCAGGAGTGCTGGGCCATTCGTCAGCGCGCGCCGCTTAGAGGCCCTCCGCCTCCGCCGGTACATGCATCTATACCTAAACGGGGTTTAGGGTTTGGGGTTTGGGGTTTGGGGTTTGGTGTTCAGGGTTTGGGGTTTAGGGTCTAAACCCCAAGCCCAGCAACCACATTAAATTAAGGGCGCGCTTGTTGGGCTTGATTACTTTCTAGGGGGCGTAGACTCAAACGAAAAGGGCTAAGGGTACGCCTGGGCTACCAAGTGAAGATTAATTGTCGGCACGTACAACCCTACGCACGAACCTGCAACTTTGTTAGGGCTCAGGGTCCTTGTATGTATATGTGTGTAGATATGGTGCAGTGTCGGCCAGTCCCCCTCCCTCCGCCCCCATGGTGTGGTACCCCCCCCGCCTGTGGTTGGGGTCGGCGGGGTTTAGGATTTATCGTTAGGGTTTAGGGTTTAGGGGCTTAGGGTTTAGGGTTAGGGTTTAGGGTTTAGGGGCTTAGGGTTTAGGGGTTTGGTGTAGGAGTTAAGGCCGCATCATGGGGGCACCTCAGAGGGCTTCTGGGTTTCGGACCTGAGGATTTAGGGGAAACCCTAGACGCTAGATTCTAAACCCTAAAATCCTAAGTCCAATCTCATTTGGGCCCTTGGCCTCCGCTCGGAGGTGCTAAGCAGGTAGAACACATCTCGCAAGTTCTTGCTATAATCTTAGCTGCTGAGTTCATAAGCCCCAAAAAAGGTGTACACTTTCAGTACTATAGAGGATTATAGTATCCCAAAAAGTGTAAAGTGGACTCACTCAGCAACTAAGTAATCGGTGGAACCCCTGAATGGCTACTTCTACGCCGAGCTGTAGCTACCCATGATTCTCCACGTCGTCCCTACACCTCACAACGCCCTTGCTTAGGAAGGGCGCTGTAGAGCTCGCTGATGGAGTTTCATTTCTTCTAAGGTATCTCAAAATCGGCAGTTCCAGAGCATTGCCGGGGGCCATGAATCACCTCGAAAGCACACATCTCTGCTGCAGAACCAACTCATGGATCTGCTTTTGACGCGATGCGAGGAAGCAGAGTCAACAAAGGATAGGTAAAGCTTCAAACAGGCTGGCTCGGCTTAGATGCCAACTTCCGTACACGGTGTAACCCTACACTCTAAACGCTAACATGAACTTTGAAGGCCCGAAAACCCTGGAAAGGCGTTATAAGAACCTTAAAAACCCTAACCCCCGGCCATCCGCCAACCGAAGCGGGTTTAGTGCGAGGTTTAAACCCTAAACCCTAAACGCTAAACCCTAAACTGAACCAGTGGGTCCAAAGGGCTGCTCCGTCTGCGCAGGGCGGACCCAAACCAGGTCACCATCGCGAAGCACATCCTGGCTTACCCAAACCCTAAACCCTAAACCCTAAACCCTAAACCCTGAACCCTGAACCCTGAACCCTGAACCCTGAACCCTGAACCCTGAACCCTGAACCCTGAACCCTAAACCCTAAACCCTAAACCCTAAACCCTAAACCCTAAACCCTAAACCCTAAACCCCAAACCCTAAACCCTAAACCCTAAACCCAGGCACAGGGCTTAGTTTAGGCCGGTAGGGCTTTGAGCTTGTCTAGGGTTCGTGGAGTTTGTTTCGGGCTCATATGGGAGTTTACGACATAGGGTAGCCCCTATATAATTTGGGAAACCTAAACCCTAGTCCTCCGGACTAGGGTTTTCCATCGCGGTGCGAGGGGCTCCTTCATGAACCTTGGAAACAGTCGCTGGCGCGCGTTCATCAAGCCGTGCATCGGCGCACACGGACGCCCGATTTGAGGGCAGTATTGCCCGAGATGGGTCAGGGCTTGCGGTTTTACGCCTTCTAGGGGTCAGGGTTGATTAGGGGTCTAGGGTGGTTTAAGGTTTGGG